GCCGCCGTCGCCATTTTGTGCCGCCGACGCCTTTAGGGCCCTTTCTCTGCAGGGCGGCTCCTCGAGACGCTCACGGCTCGGCCCCAACGCGTTCCATTGGCTATATACAACGGATACCTCATTTCTATTGGTCATGCGACCTGCCTGTCAGACTCGCGTCAGGCGCCGTCGCCGGAACCCGACCCTGGGAAGGGCAGGGCTGCTACCCAGCAGTCTCCGCGGCTAGGCCCGACCGGAAATGTGTCTGCCCCAAGGGACTCAGGCGGCTCAGAGACTGGCGTAACGGGGTCAGGCCCGCGGAATCCTGCGAGATCCTGGAAAGTTGGTCTTGGGACAGGCTGTGCCGGCCGGACTAGAGGTGAATCAGCACCGGATGGTCAGTCCTCAACCCTGCTGGCTGCAGGCTCCTGGTGCAGCTGTCAGTCCAGACCCCCACAGTTCTCACTTGCAAACTCCGTTCTCGGGGAAGGCAGCGAGTGAAGGGAGTCAGAAAACATCGGACTCAGTGACCGTACTGAGCGTCTGGAGGCAGGTGCAGGCCCGGGGACGGATCAGGGGAGGCAGGCGCGAGGCCTGCACGCTGGGGAAAGGACAAGGACAGACCGCACTGACACCCCCTGCTGCCGCATTAGGACCGCCTCGGGCGGCACCGCTTCGGCAGTGCAGCCTTTGCTGCTGTGCAAGAACAGCCGACCTATGCGTCAACCCGGGAAGACTTGCCAAGTGCTGCTAGGATAGGTTAGAAGGAGATGAAAGGGAGATGTCCCTAGGTGGGACAGATCAGACTCGGAGCTGCTTGTAACTGCCCAGCAAGCCAACTTACAGTCGCGGTACAATGGGAGGTTGAGGCAGGAGAATCACAAATTTGATTGGTGGCGCATGTCTGTAATCCTAGCAATAGGGAGTCTGAAGCAGGATTGCCAAGAGTTAGAGGCCAGTCTGCAGTCTGGGTTGCATAGTGAGTTTAAGGCTACCCTGGACTACACAGCAAGACCATCTCAAAAGAAGAAAGAAGAAAAAAAAAAAGGTTTGAGCCCAGGTTGGACAATTTAGCGAGACTGTCTCAAAATTAATACAGTAACATGCTCGGGGCCAGGGATTTAACTTAGTGGTACAGCTGCCTGCCTCACAAGTGCAAGGTCCAGAGTTCGATCCCCAGTACCAAAAAACAAAACCAACAATAACATGTTGAGCATGGTGACACATGCTGTGATCCCAGCATTTGGGAAGCTGAGGCAGGAGGATCACCTTGCATTTGAGACCAGCCTGAGCTAGAGTTCAAGGCCAGCCTGAACTACATAGGGAAACCCTGACAAAACAAAACAAAAAAACCCTGGCCAATGGTGGAGCTGATTTCTAGCAAGACCCAATCTGATCCCACAGTTCCAGCACTGCCAAATAGGACCCAGTCTTTCTCCTTTGTACCTGCTATGGGCACCATGGTTGCAGTTCACCAGTCCCTTCTGCCCCTAATTTGGCAGCGCCAGAGTCCCCCCTCCAGCCTCATTGTTTGTGTGTGCCAGGGAAAAAGGAATTTCCCTTCCTCTGGAAACCCACATCCATCTTGTTTCTCTCCCTGTGACTGGACGCATTTGTGGGAGATCTTGGTGTTTCTAGCCAGTCAGACCAGCTCTACTGCATGGCACCGGAACTGGTGAACAGGCTGGACCAGGGCTGCTGGTGCAACCCACCAGTTTATCCCCTTTGAGGTGAAATGCAGAAAAGGCACTCAGCCACAGTACTGAAGGGGTATGGCTCTGCCCGGTCCATTCAATAGCCATCTCCTGAGCACTTGTGCACACAGCCTGGAGTTAGTTGGCCAGGGCTTGGTGGAGGTGAGTGTGGATGAAGTCCATGGAGGAGCACAGGATGACTCCCAGCAACTGGTAGCACAGGACAAGGGAGGTGCGGCCATAGGAAATGCAGCTGCTACTGGAGGCAGGTGTTAACTGGGCTCCACTGGAGTGGCAGCCTTCCAGGATAACCAGGTGTGTGTTGCCTGTATAAATGGGGTCACCAGCAAGCAGACAGCAACTGTAGGTCCAAAGGCCCTGCTAGAGCTCAAAATAGAGATGCCCAAGGTTCTGGATGGGACCAGGTACCTGAAAAGACAAGGGGATAGGCCTGGCCCTTTAGCAGATGGAAAGACATTGTCCACACTACACATGGGACAGGGGACATGGAAGGTCTGCATGGCACAGGGTTGGCAGAGATGCTGTGAGGGGATTCCTGATGGTGAGCTCATCAGGAACATATTTCTGGACATCATGGAGCAGCATACTGATTGTTACTTTGGGAGCCCCATCTGATGAAGTCCTGGAGACGAACCAAGAGTACCTGCACCTGCTATGGGCCCATCTCCCTCTGATCCCTACTGGCCAGGGGGGCATGGGAGGAGACAGCAGGGAAACAAGCTGTGTGCCATAGTTGAAGAGCTGAGCCACAGGGAAAGTGAGGGGACTTGGAATCAGGGAGCTGGATGGGTAGGGAAGTCAGATTTCAGTGGTCGGCTTGCAGAAGCAGCACAGTTGGATGCATCCGACTGCTAGGGACTCCTTTCCTATCAGCCTCTCCTGCTGTGCCACGCAGCTGCTGCTGCTGGGCTTACAGGCACCTCAGTGATGACGGTACACCCCATGGTGTGTTTGCTTGATGCCATAAAACACAATTCACAAGTCAAATACTGTGAAAGCTTTATATGCATAATCTATGTAAGACACTTCTGAGACTCTGTCCACTGAGAAGACAGGGTCTTTTCTCTCAGGCCTGGCACTGAAGTGTAAATAAAGTCACAATCCAGGTTTATGAGCTAATGAGTAAATAGCACACTGTTCCTAAGAAGCATTTTCCTGATCCACGGTGCAGCAGCCCTCAGTGGTACTGCACCACCCTGGAAAATATGCCTTCAGGCTCCTTTCCATCCCCCAAGGCAGCTGCAAATCCTTCCTGTCGCCTCCGTTGGGCCAAAGCAGCCAAAGATTTAAAAGTCTTTGGTTCATAGATGGCCAGGTCCGAAAGTACTTTCCTGTTGAGCTCCACCTGGCACTGACAAGAGAAAGAACAAGAGCCAAGTTGGCATTAGCAACCACTTGGGCAGTGCATCACAAAACCCCACAAAGCACTGGGCTGCACTGACAGTGTGGTTCAGAGACCTCTGGTGGTGAGTCGCCCTCCAGCACCAGTACTCTGGCTCCAGGGCACAACCTATCCATGGAATAGCTCCGGAAGAGCCAGAGCAAGAGAATCCTGCCTGGGCAGCACAGCAGAACACTACAGGACAGGGCACCTGCCTTCCAAGTGCAAGGTTCTGAATTGAATCCCTGAACCAAAAAAAAAATTACAGGATGAACAAGGACAAGGGAGAGGGCACTTGTGAAGTTTGTATGACACTGGAAGGGAGGTGAGTCCAGTCTCCAGAGCCTACCCATGGAACAGATTTTTTTTGTTTTGTTTTTTTCTTTGGGTACCAGGGATCGAACTCAGGTCCTTGTGCTTGCAAGGTAGGCGGTGGCACCACTTAGCTAAATCCTCAGCCCCCAGAAGATCTTGTCTAGGACCAGGGTTCATCACCTGAACCACTAGAACCCCTGGGCTAGCCCTGTCAGTCAACTTGGAAGTTCCCTCAGTGTGCTAGGTCAGGCTCCCATCAAGGGAAACTGCAAGCCTGGGCTATAACTCAGTAGTAGAGGGCTTGTGTACAAGGCCCTGGGTTTGATCCCCAGCACTGAGAAAACCACAGGTGATTTTGGAAAGCTGATGCAAACTGTCAGTGGGCTTAAGCAGAAAGATGGGGCATGTCTCCACACATTAAACACGCTTCCAAGCACCTAGTGGACCTACTCTGGACATAACCTGAGTGCCTCAGATAATGTTCATCTGCCTTCTAAGCCTCAGCTACTGGACAGTAAAACAGTGACATTAACATGCATGCACTCTCAAGTTTACCCTGAGGGTCTTTGTAATGTCACACAGGAACCCTACTCCCCAGACGTTTTATTTGTTTTTTGAGACAGGGTCTCACTATGTAGTTGAGACTGACCTGGAACTATGTAGCCCAGGCTGGTCTCGAACTCAAAGCAATCCTCCTGCCTCAGCCTCCCAAGTGCTGGGATTACAGGTGTACGCCACCACGCCCAGCTTACTCCCCAGATTTTAAAGGAAAAACACAAACGTACATGGAAGCAAAGGGAATTAGCATAACTTCCAGATTCAAAGAATGACCAGATTTCATACTTCTTGCTTAATCTGTCCCTCCAAGACACTTCATCTTTCTGTGGTTGTATGTTTGAATTCCATCTGTTACATCATCAAAAAACTTCCAGGGGGTGGGGATTTAGCTCAATGGTTCTGCTGCCTGCCTTCGCAAGCTCAAGGTCCCAAGTTCAATCCCCAGTAACAAAAAAAAAAAAAAAAAAAAAAAACCAACCTCCACTGTCAAAAAAATTTTAAACTTTACAGTTAAAGCCAAAGTCTTCTACTTTTTTTCCTAAATGAGGAAACATTGGGCCTCATGTCACAGTACAAAAAGCTCTATTTCCACCACACTTTGCCGCCACCAGGGCAAGGAAGAAGCAAGTATGAGCCCCCAACCTGCTAGGGCTGCAGCCAGGGACACAAAGCAGTACAGACCCTGCCAGGCTGGCTTGTGCCCAAGGCGTGGCTCCTGCAGATAAGTACCTCAACAGGCCTCAGTCATACCTTGATTAAATTGGTAACAAACACTGAGTACTTCAGGCCATGTTCCTGGGAGGCACCTGTGATGCGATTAATCCAAAGCTGAAATAAGAAAACACTGAGATGAGTTAACAGCATCCTTGATTTTATTCATTTATTTATTTGTTTGTTTGTTAGTTTTCGGCACGGGTGATTGAACTCGTGTCCTTGCACTTGCGAGGCAGGTGACAGAACCACTGAACTAAATCCCGGGCCCATCATTCTGGATTTTATATCTATACCTACCTTCCAATAATCCTGGCTGAACTAAACTTTTTAAGTCAGTAGAGGAGTTAGTGTTTTCCTTTCTAGCAAACAAGCCTGCAGTACAAAGAAAGATTGATGCACTTCAGTGAAATAAGTTCCATTTTATTTTATTTCTCGGCTTTTTTTTTGGGGGGGTGGGTTTTTTGAGACAGGGTCTCACTATGTAGTTGAGACTGACCTGGAACTCACTGTGTAGCCCAGGCTGGTCTCGAACTCACAGCGATCCTATTGCCTCAGTCTCCCGAGTGCTGGGATTACAGGCATGCGCCACCATGCCCGGCTGTATTTTTCGGTTTTTTTGAAACGGTCTCATTATGTAGCTCCAGCTGGCCTCCAGTGGGTGATGATTCTCCTGAGTAAGTGGCTCACAGGCGTGCACCACCACGTCCACTGAGAATGTGTATTTCTAAGAACAACTGAGGAGGCACAGTAGCTATCCAGGACCCTTGCTCCCATCACTGGCCAGGCAGCACAGCCTTGCCCTTTGCAAAGACACAGCTGATAACCAACCAGTAGAATTCACATCGGAAACCTGCAGGCGGGAACGCTGAGACCCGCAGCTACTGCTAGCAGGGCCTTTCTGACCTAACTGGCTCAGACCTGGCTGCTGCGTTATTCTTTGAACTGAGGCTTAGAAAGCGGTACTGACGCAAGCGCGAGTGGCAGCTCTCAGCAAAGACCCCGAAAAGCGTCTACCAGGCGCGGGAGCCCCCGCAATAAACAGCCAGGAGCAACACGCGGGCCAGGGGTCCCGAGAAGGGTTGGGCAGCACTTACGGTCCTCAGGTTCCGCTTCTTCAGCTTGCGGGCCCGGGTGCATTTCACGAAGGCCCTGGTGACAGCCCTGACGGCCAGCCGGTAGCAGCGGTTCTTCCTCCCGCGAAAGTGCTGGGTCGAGAAACGGGAAACGAGGGGTGACGGAAACCGCGCGGACACCCTTGGTCCACGAGCTCCCGGATCCCTGGCGTGCTCACTCACCCGCGCATGCTTCAGCACCTCCTGGATCCGAAAGTAGCGGTCAGTAACGCGGTTCCGCAGCCAGAGTCGCGTCGTGAGGAAGACCATATTGAAGTGTCCCCGCCGGGATGCTGCCGAGAGGTTTGTGGGTCAGCATAGCCGGAAACTTTCGGGACGATGTGTGTGTACTTCCGCCTTCCGGGGCATCTCTGAGCCCGGCCTCTGGGTTCCGCCGGGCGCTCCAGTCCGCTTCGGGCTGGGGGCGTGGCCAACTCCGCCGGGTCAGCCCGGCGGGAGTAGCCGCGGGGCAGAGAGGACAGCACTGCGCGGACGCCGCCGGCCGCGATCTCCAGGTGTGCCCTTCAAGAGTCTGCCGGAGTACGTGCGTCACCCTGAGCGCTCTGGGCGCCCGGCCAAGGGAGAAGCAGCGCAACGAGGGCGAGGCGGAGCCTGAGGGAACCCGGGCGAGGGCTGCGTCCAAATCTTGCGCAGGCCACAGTAGAACAGTGAAGTGGCGGAGTACGCCTGCAATCTCAGTTGCTTACTGTAGCTTTGCGGGAAGCTGAGGCAAGAGGATCGCTATCCTTGCTAGCTCGAGGCTATCCTTGGCTGCGTAGTGAGACCCTGTCGCAAAATAAAAAACAGGGCTGGGAAGAGTGGCTCTGGGTTCATTCGCCAGAACCAGACAAGCAAATAAAAGTGACCCTGGCACTGTGTTGGGCTGAGGCAGGAGGGTTGCAGATCCAAGCCCAGCCAGGGACAGAGAGACTGTCTCAAAATGATAAAAACTAGCAAAGAGCTAGGGATATAGCTCAGTGTGAAGGCCCTAGGTTCAGTACTCAGTACCACACACACACAGGCGAAGTGCGGGTGGCAATTTCTTTTCTAACTTCTTACTTAGGTACGTTTTATTTTATTGGTTCCGGGGATCAAACTTGGGACCTTGAACTTGTGAGGCAGGCGGTGGCACCACTAAGCAAAATCCCAGGCCCGGTACAGTTTTAAATTACAGAAACGCTGCAAGGATAGTAAGAGGAAGGGCCAGGGATGTGGTGCACTGGGGCCGTGCCTGCCTGGCAAGCTCAAGGTCCTGAATTTGATTCCCGGTACCTGTGGAGAGAGACTAGTACAAGGAGGGCCAGGTGTGGTGCCACATGCTCTTCCCCTTTTGGAACATCAATGAGACATGCCACAGTTGCTAGATCTAGCACCTAGACCTGCAAGGAAGGGCAACAAGCATTAGCTAAGGCTTGAATTTGAATTTTTCACTAATTAAAGAATAGTTTTTTGTAAAGCAAAAAAAAAAAAAAAAATTCTTGA